ATCATTAAAATTATAAACTATTCATCATAAAACATTTTTCAACATACATGATATTAAAAACAATGCATAATCATTTAAAATCAAAACCCATGCATGCTTAAAATCAAATGAGCAACCAAATAACCAAAATTAAAAGCATTAAGCTTAGAGGTTACCTATTCCTTTTTCATGTGTGGCTAGAGCATCTTGAATATCATCACTTTCATCATCATTGCTCCCATACACCTACAAGAGACATTTAAGTAGATTTTAGTATCCAAATTATTTTGAATCCTTGAACATTAGTTTCCATGTCCCTTGTTCCTTTCGGAACCCATACTTGTCTAATTTTAAAACGTTTTCCTTTCTTCAAATGACAAGTATGTTCCTTGTGACCACGAAAATGACAATGTGAGCATTTTGTCATTTCTAAACATAATATGTTGTTTTTAGAAATTAATTCTTTTTCTTTTGTTAAGCTTTCAAGCTTAACTTTTAAATCAAAATTTTCTTTTTCTAAATCATTTATTTTGATTTTTGAAAGCTCTAAATCATTTTTCAAAATTTCATTTTGATTTTCAAAATCGACTTTTACTTTCAAAACCAATTGATCTTTAATTTTGAGTTTTGAAATTAATTTCGTATATTTGGAATTCATGGTCTCAAATCCCAAATACAACCTATTATAAGCATCTTGTAACTCATCAAAAGTAAATGAATTAAATTCATTTGAGTTGGAAGATACCTCGAATTCTTCATGAGTGGCCATGAGGCATAAGTTGACTACTTCGTCATCATTGGAGTCATCTTCATCACTCCAAACTGTTATATATGCCTTCTTCTTGGATGATTCCTTCTTTCTTAGAAGGGGACAATCATACTTGACATGCCCCGTTCTTTGCAAATTAAAGCACACCGGGGGACTCTTCTTCTTGGTTGATTCATGCTTTACTTCCTTGGAAGTCATGAATCTCTTTAACTCTTTTAAGAGCTTGACCATCTCATCTTCTTGTTCATCATTATCTTCATCCACTTCATCACTTGAATCTTGATAGCTTTCATTGGTGGATTTGAAGGCAATTCCTACCTCATTCTTTTTCTTGTTTTTCTTATTTTCACATTCTTCCTCTTCCTTCAACATCATCTCATGAGTGAGAAGGGAACTAATTAGCTCATCGAGAGTGAGAGACTTTAAGTCTCTAGCTTCGATAATGGTCATCTTCTTCAATTGCCATGACTTTGGAAGAGGGTATATCATCTTCCTCACAAGCTTCTTATTAGGGATTACTTCTCCAAATCCCCTGAGACCGTTGACAATCACAAAAAATCTATCCGTCATAGCTTTGATGTCTTCATCGGGTTTCATCTTGAAGTTCTTGTAGCTATGGTTGAGTACTTATCTTTGATTCTCTCACTTCATCGGTTCCTTCATGAGTGACTTGGAGCTTATCCCAAATCTCTTTGGCACTGGAACAAGATGAGATTCTTACATATTCATTTGGGCCTAATGCACAAAAGAGAATGTGCATAGTCTTAGCATTGTGCTGTAACTTTTTCTTCTCTTCATTACTCCAATCATCCCAATTATCTAACTCGCCGGGTGGAATGGAGTAACCGTTCATGATTGAGTTACAAGCTCCTAGATTGTAGGCTCGAATAAAGAACATTATCTTATTCTTCCAATGTGCATAATTTTCTCCATTGAAGAAGGGTGGCTTGTTGACCGTCTGTGAATCTATAATAAGTGAATCTTCAATGTAATAGGCACCGAAGGTTGAAGCCATTTCTTTGTCGGTTGCGTCGGGAATCGGTAGAGCTTATTCGATGATCGTCTCAAGGATGTTAAGCCTTCAAACGAGTCAATCTCTGATACCAATTTTTGGGATTTTCGGAAGCTCGAATCGACAACCGAAACGGTTTGCAAAGAGGGGTCGGAACGATTTTTGTGTTTAGGGAGTAAGGAGATTGAAAGATAGAAATTTGCACAGCGATTTATAATGGTTCGACTCCTCAACCAAGTTTACATCCACTACCTTAGCTCCTCACCAATGATTTTTCAACAAATTCACTAATTTGTTCTTTCTTTTTCAAGGACAAAGAGATAACATTTACAAACTCCCTAGTTTTTACGGGCTAAACTAGAACATTTCCTTAACTTTTCACGGGATCAGCTAGAACATTTTCCCTTTACAAAAGGATCAAATAAGTAAAGAAATAAACCTCTCTAAGGTAGGTGTTTATAAGAATTAAGATCGCAAGAACAATATTTACAAGAGAAAGATGAAATAAGTATGGAAAACTCTTCTCTTGTGTTTGATTGCTTGGATAGGAGTTCTCTTACTTCTTCAAGTGTCATCAGCTTGTATTTATAGCTTGAAATGAGTTTGAAGTCGTATATAGCCGTTGGGGATGTTTTGGAGCCGTTTGGGGATGATTTTTCTGCAAAACAAGGATGTCCATAACAGGGGGTATTGGTACCCCTTCAAGGGGTATCGGTACTACCTTTGTTAAATTCAAATTAAATTAGCCGTTGGAGCCAGGGGGTATGGATACCCATAGGGGGTATCGATACCCAGGGTATTGATACCCATAGGGGTATCGGTACCATAGGGGTATCGGTACCCTTTTTGCATTTGATGTTTGAGCAGTCATAGGGGTATTGATACCCGTTCACATAGGGGTATCGATACCCATTTGCATTTTTTCTCAAATTCGAATTTAATGGACTTTGAATTATTTTTGAAACCTTTTGAAATCTTTGAATAAATTCAATTCAAGTCAAAAAAAACATTTTACCTTAAATTTGTTATATCGAAACATAGTTCAACAAATACTTTAACCAATAAAATTGAGAAAACGCACCATCAAAACAACGTAACTTAATTGATGGGAAAATATTAGTTATAGGTTTAATTTGTAGAGATCTAATTCAAAATTCAATTTGTCAAACCCTAATGTATGACTAACATGAAATAATTTTAGAATTTATTATTACTATTATTATGAATTGGTTTGATTTCTTTTATTTATTTATCATTATTTATTGACTTGAAGAATAATTATTTAATATAACCTACAAGCAAGATTAAGAAATTATTACATATGACAATTATTATTTAAAAGGATAAATTACACAAATAATTCATCGACTATAAAACGCTACTTTGTTAAGTCTTCCGACTATTAAATGTTACGAAATATTTCTTTAACTAAATGGCATTGTTCTATAACTTTTAAGAGTAGAAGAAGTCAACAAAGCGTCGCCCTATAATCGATGATTATTTTATAACTTTTAATAGTCGAAAGATTCATTATAACTTTTAATAGTTGATAGATTCAACAAAACAACGCTCTATAGTAGAGGAATAACATTAATTCTTTTATTACGGAGGTCACTTGGTTCATGCGACTACAAGCAATGTTAAGAATCACATATGACAATTATTACTTCAAAGGCTTTTAACTGAAGATGCATTGTCTTCCGACGACTTTTATGAAGACGCACTGTGTTCTCGGCAACTTTCCAAAGACGCATACTGTTCCCGACGACTTCGACAAGTACTGTAGCATTCACACTAAACAAAAAAATAATTTCGATTAAACCTTATTTCAACGAATAATTTTTTAACAACCCTAGAGCAGAAAATCAACCCTTCATTCATACACTTAGGTGGGAGAATTACTATACAAATCATTTTCTATTGGGTCCACTTTTTTCTTAAAAAAAATTCAATTACATCACCCTCGTCCATACTTCATCATCTGCTCAAAGTTACAATATATTATTTACTAACGACATTAATTCACTAATAATATTATTTAAATTAAACTATGATCGATACAAGATTGTAAAATAAAGACATAATATTAAAAAATATTTTTATTATTTTATTAAGTAGTTACTTTGGTCTTTATATTTTATAGTATTTTGGCCTCTAATATTTTATTTTGGGATAAAAGGCCTCTCAATGAATATTAATCAAAGTCAACAAACAATTAATATTCCAAAATATGAATATTTTATCTTAAATATTAAACATTAGTTGGTCAAAATGCTCGAAAAAGAATAAGGTCAAAGTGACTATTTAGTCAAACGTTATGAGATTTTTTTTACCTAAAATGCTCAAAGAAAAAAGAAATCAAATGACTATTTAATCAAATATTAGGCGTATTTTTTAACATTATGCCTAGGGATGAGCACAAGACTCAAACTTGATGGTTTTCGACTAGACCCAACCCTAGTGGGTCATGTTTTTTTCAAAATTCAAGTTCGAGTTGGATACTTGGATCAATTATTTTAGAATATAAGTTCGATTCAGATTTTGGGAGTAATATTCGATCGACCCAATTCAAAAAATAATGTAAGTATACATTATATAGTTAGAGATAATTGCAATAGTATTATTCTCTATATACAATCCAAAAAATAATGTTAGTATACATTATATATTTAGAGATAATTGAAATAGTATTATTCTCTATATATATTTTTTTCAATTAGATCCTTATTTTATAAAATAAAATTAAAAATATTATTTATGTTTATATATTTGTGTTGGATCAAATACATGTTTTATTTTAAAAGACTGGTCGGGTTTTAGGACGGGTGGAGTCATCATAAACTAGGGTTGAATCAAATTTTTGATGGAAAATGTATTTTTCTCGGGTTGATCGAAAACCCGATCCAACCCAACCTATACCCATTCTAATCATGCCTAAAAATAGAAATTAAAATTCTAAAAAATAAAACTTGGAGCATAAGACATAAATTATTATTTAATCACTATATTGCGTTAAATAATTATTATATAGTTAATAGAAATAATATTTAATTAAATTTAAAATCAATTATATATTTAGATCAATTATAAAAATGATGTTATTTTTTATTACTTTTAATCAATATTTTAAGAGATTCCAAACTCTACAAATGATTTTGGTTTAATAATAAAATCAATATTTTAGAAAATTTCTAATATTAAGTTGGAGTTTTATCTTATGCAAGTTTTGTATAAATTCTCCCAAAATTTCTGCAATTGTCTCTCCTCCGCCGCTAAGCTTCTTCCTTGTCTATATTCTTAATTTACAGTTGTTTCGTGGGTAGGGCAATTTCAACCCAACAAATAAAGTTTGGTATTCTTTTGTTTATTTCATTTGAACCCTAATTGGTGCCGCCGTTAACCTTCATTTCTACTCCGCCGCAAAGCTAGACTTCCTTGTCTTTGTTCTTAATTTATAGGTGTTTCATGGGTAGGGCGATTTCAATACTCAATGAGCCTTAATCGGCGGTTCGCTTCGGTGCCGGTCCACCATTCATACCTCTAATCCAAAGCTCCCAACACAAAGTGCGAGTTTTGTTCGAGTGATTGATTTAACTTCCCCAAATTTCGATTTTATTATTATTATTATTATTATTATTTCCGAAACTGCAGGTTTAGCTTTCCAGAAGCAGCCCCTTTTACAGCCATCTTGAAATTCAGAGTCCCTCCCCAAAATCATCAATGGTAAATCAATTCCTTCCATCTACTTTTGTTAAGTATTATTTTTGTATTTTTTGTTTTGTTTTGCATGTTTTAATTAGGATTTGGGATTGGCAGGTTTTAACTGGCTTAGATTAGCATTTTTGGAGGGAAAAATAAGAATTTTGAAAATATTGATGATTTAGACAGAATTCCCAGGAACCCTGACATGCAAATCTCCCACCTTTCGTCTCTTGCCCGTCAACTACGAGTCACTTGATCACACTTTTGTTACATGCACGAGTAATCCCTCACCTTCCTTACTCTGTCGAGTAATTTCAGTTCATAGCTGCACTATTGCCTGAGCATAGCTGTATTGTATGAGATTAGTTCTCCATCTCCCCTGACCTCAGTCTGGTCTGTAACAACACAATCTGAAAGGAGAATGGTTGATTTTGATTTTTTTTAATTGCTAGTATTGTACAAATGCTGTATATTTTTTCATGCGAAATCTCTTTATATGTTTTCTATGAAGCTTTTCCCCTTAACTGCCTTGTACAAATTAGTTACTCCCTAATCTAGACAATCATATATTTAATTATGTTGCCTTTATGCCATAATATTTTCAGGCCTAGCGGGGCTGCTCGGCTGCATTAAATTAGATTTTGGTGTCTGCAATCTTGGCGCCTCTTTGCTTTGTGCTATTTTCAGGCCTAATAGTCTTGCGCATTTCCTTGAAAATCCTCAGAAATTATCTCAATAGGAGAGATGACTACGACTGGTACGAGAAATTTTAAGGAAAAACGGATTTCAAAGAGGCGGCGACTGAGTAGACATGGGCCCAATTGGTCGGATCTCCCCCTCGACATCCTTGAACGTATAATTGGACGTTTGCGTTGGGTAGATCGAAGCCGGATACGAGCAGTTTGCAAGGCTTGGTCAGTCCCAAACACTTGTATTCCTGCTATTGGTGAACTCCCCTGGGCAATGAAATTTTGTTGGCGTTATGCCTCTTTGTATCTAATACAAGGTGAGTGCCGGCTGCTGGACCCTCTTTCCAGAGAGTACCTTGTCGAAGAAAGGAGCAGAGGACTAGAGTATCTACTTTTCCTTGATGCACGACCTTGTGCTTCTTTATATGGGTGGGTTCTTTTCAAAGTGTACGACTTTATTGAAGAAAAAAAAGAGTCCCTCTTTTTGTACTCTCCGTTAACAACTGAGGTAATTAGGCTTCCGTATTTAGGGGGACCTCCCACATTTCAGGTGGCGGCGTTTTCCTTGAATGCAACATCCCCAAAATATACCATCTTTCTTTTGTGGAGTGAAAATGGAAAAATTTGTATTAAGTTATGTTCTGCCGGTGATTGTTCATGGAAGACTTTTGAGTTTGATGGTTTTGATCGGTTTAATCGTGCTAATGATGCTGCCTACACCAACGGAGTTTTCTATTGTGTTTTTAGAGGAGGACAATTGGGTGCCTTCAATGTTGAACTTAAAGGGTGGACTATTCTGGTTGATCATTGTCCACTCGTTGATCATTGTCCACTCTCACGAAGTAGTGTGCATTATGCTAAACTCATTGTGTCTGGTGCAGATCTGCAACTGTTGTCTGATAGCTCATCTTTTGGAACTCCTTAAGCTTGATTTTGCAAAGATGAATTGGGTTTATGAAAATGATTTGAATAACCGGGTGTTGTTTATCGGGTGCACTTCTTTCTCTGTTCCAGCAGTGGGGGAAGCAAATGTATTGGCAAATACCATATTCGCTTCTGGTACTTTGATGCACCCCAAAGTTAGATTTTATGGCAGCACATCTCCAAGGCAGTCGAGACTCTACCGTAAGTGTGTTGAGGCAGCAAAGTGCGACAGGATTTGGATTGAACTTCCGTTGGGTGGTATTTGGAGAGCCGATGATTTGATTCATGCTGTCTAGTTGAATGCTGCAATGCAAGCCAACCATCAACAGCATTTTTATTTGTGTTTAGATCAATTAATTATTCCTGGAACATCATATGTTTTCATGAATGGAGTTTCAATTTTAGTAAGTATTCCTGGTGCTTCATCAGAAGATCTTTGACCTTAGTTATGGGGTTTAGATCATGGAAAGAAGATTTAGCTAAGAATTGATAAAACCATAATAGATTAACTAAGTAATAAATAAATTTAAAGAATTGAAAGTTGGTGAAAACAAACCTTAAAACACAACACTCCGATACATATATATATATATTTACAGAGAGAAAATAAAAGGCTTAATACCCAAATAAGTGTCTGAATTATAATTTTTTTTCCCGAATAGGCGTCTATAATATTTTTCAGACCATTTAGGTGACTAATATTACAAACGTTATCACTTTAAGTGCCCGAACCGTCAACGACGTTAATTTCCTCCGTTAAGTGACATATAACTAGGATGATGGTAGAGACTATGTCGACAGCGGTGGTCGTGGCTTGAAAGGATGGCAGCTGCGGTTTAGTGTTAGGATTTGGGGATTTTAGGGATTTGAGACTTTTTTTGTAATTTAAAAGAAATTATGATTTTTTTATAAATATAATAATATTTTTAATATTTTTTTAAAAATAAATTTTAAAATATCATATTGTGACACGTGTCATTTGACGGAGAAAACTAACTGTCGTTACGTCCCGAGCACCTAAAGTGGTCACGTTTGTAGCGTTAAGTACATGGGTAGTCTAAAAAATACTGTAGGCACCTATTTGGACAAAAAATGTTTAGTTTGGACACTTATTTGGTATTAAGCCTAATTTTTAATTTGACCTATAAACTTTAGTTACAATATCAATTTAACCCCTAAATCTAAACAAAACCATCTGCAATTGGTCGTTAGATCGACGATTGTTAGACCCAAATTTTTTACTTCACTTATTTTTTTACCTCATAAACATAAATCTGATATATATTTCATCAAAAAAAATGTCTCAAACTTCATAAATTTAATAATACGATCAAACTAACAATATTTATGTTTCAGTAACTAAAACATTACATATCAATAACATAAATGATCAAAAATATTTTTTCCTAAATTTAATAAAAAACTAAACATTTATAAAATGAAAGTAACCATTCTAATACTTTAGCCAATAAAACTGAGAAAACGCAACATTAAAACAATGTAACTTAATTGATGGGAAAATATTAGTTATAGGTTTAATTTGTAGAAATCTAATTCAAAATTCAATTTGTCAAACCCTAATGTATGTCTAACATGAAATAATTTTACAATTTATTATTACTATTATTATGAATTGGTTTGATATCTTTTATTTATTTATCATTATTTATTGATTTGAAGAATAATTATTTAAAATAGCCTGCAAGCAAGATTAAGAAATTATTACATATGACAATTATTATTTAAAAGGATAAATTACACAAATAATTCCTCAACTATAGAACGTTATTTTATTAAGTTTTCCGACTATTAAAAGTTACAAAATATTTTCTTTAACTAAAAGGCATTGTTCTGTAACTTTTAAGAGTAGAGGAATCCAACAAAGTAACGCCCTATAATCCATAACTATTTTATATCTTTTAATAGTTGATGAATTTAACAAAACAACACTCTATAATCATAGAAACATTTGTACATTTTACCCTATTTGAAAATACAAACAAGTTCTACTTTCATTTTATAATGCCTTTACAATTATATTTTTTTTCTCAAGTAAATTATATCGTGGCTACCGATAATTTCAAATTTTCGATACGAGTTTCTTTCATTGGTCTTCTTCTTGGTTCGTGATTCTACGAGATTTGATATCATTACCTCACCCATTTACGTTGTTGCTCATCAGGTTGTCTTTAGTCATTCATCGATATATTTAACTTATTTAATTTATGATTATTCAGAAAGTATATATATATATATATATATATATATATATATTTGTATGACTAATGCAATCTACGTACATTTTTCAGAAGAAAGAAAACAAAAATACAAGCAAGATATGAAAGAAGGCATAAGTTGGTGTCCATCATCTACCATGGATGTTACAATCTCTACAAATATATAAAAGTGGGAAGATCATGTCTAAATCTGTCTGCTTTTACATAAAGGTGACTCAACAACATAACATGCATGCAACGACAATCAACTGCATAGATAAACAAAACATCATGACAGTAATACACTTTTGCATCAAAATCACAATCCAAGAGATGGACATTGCTTTCTTGCATGCTCCGGAATCAGCTTCACCGATATCTCCACCGGAAAACCCTTCAGTTCTGGTGGACACGATAACATCACCATTGTTATAATCAATCATGCATCTTTAACAATACACGAAAAAGTTTATTTCAAAGAAAATGTATGTTTTTTTTTCTTCTCAACTATTCCTTACCGTGAGGTTTGAAGTTAAACAATGGCGGAAGGAAACGACCATTTGGTAAGCGGGCATTTGAATCGCGCAACTCGTCAAAGAAAGGATGGATCAAGGCATCTAGCTGCAAATTGAGTGACACTTGCAAAATGAGATGCACGAAACAAACCAAAAGATCATCGGTAAAGAGAACACATTAATGTCCCTCTTCGCAGCTTGCTCTATGAGTTTTCTTGTCAACTCCCTTTTTCATCACGAAGATACCTCAATGCTTGGAGTTCACTCCAAAAGTCGCAAATCAAAGGAAAAACACGAACCATGATATAATAAAGGTTTTATATGCTTACAGCAGAACACCGGAGATTAGGGGAGTATTGGAGTAATCTCGACACCAAATCAACAGCTTCAGGAGGCATGCGCTTATGGAATATCTGGTACAAAAAAATATTTCAAATCATTGTTCCATAAGATTAAACAGAAGACCATTTGCACACTCGTTCTTTGATCCTTAATACCTTATGCCACGGGTGAGCCTTAATCTGAGGGAATTTGAACTCTGTATAATTAGGGTTCATACACTTTATTTCCTCTCGTGTTGGAGTGCCCAAGACCTAGAAAATAGTCTCATAATAATCATAACAAGAGAGAAATGGTCAGTTTGACATTGCAAATTACTAAAGAAGGTATAATGATATCAAACAGAACACATGCAATGGAAAAGTATTAGGACCAAAGTTTATTAGCCAAGTACACATCCACAAGGAACACGAGTATTGCACGACATTATCATTAACAAAGGCACTTATAGAAACCATAATAAATGGCAATTTTAAATAGCAACGAATCTGTTATCTCTGTGAAGAAAATAAGTTTCCTCCCATTGAAACATTCCACAATGACATTATTGTAATAATGTGGACATATGCATACGCACACAAAAGCATTGCACTAACTATTCACTCAGAAAGTTAAATACCTTAATAATCTCAACAAGCTGGTCGACTCCACTCTCACCAGGAAATAAAGGCTGAGATAAATAGGAAATTTTTTTTATTACGGAACGCCAACCTTAATTTAAGGCAATAATAACAACCATAAACCTCATATGTACAAGCTTCCTACCTGTCCAAGTAGCATTTCAGCAAGGACACAGCCAGCAGACCAGATGTCAATAGCCGTAGTGTACTCGGTTGCTCCAAATATTAGTTCAGGTGCTCTATAATACCTTGAGCAGATGTAGGATATGTTTGGTTCCCCTTTCACCTACCAAGATATGAAAATGTGAAATAGTAAGACCTAAGCGAAACTCAAAGATTCATAAACAAATAATTAAATACGATAGAGATTACAACCTACCAAAACTTTCGCACTTCCAAAATCACATAGTTTAACTTGTTGAGTATGCGGATTTACCTGTAGGCAGGAAAGAGTAATACATCAAGATCATGTTGAAAATTAAGAGGATTGACATGACAAGTTATTCACTTTGCAGGTAAGGGGTTCTACTAAAATAAAAAAACGAGGCAAATGTCACAGTAGAAAGAGATATTTGAACATACCAAAAGGTTTTGAGGTTTGATGTCCCGATGACACACACCAATGCTGCGATGGATGTAAGACAAAGCCCTAAATATCTACCAAACATCAACTTTTATTAGCATCTGAGATGACTCAATTAAAAAGAACACGAAAAACCAAAATTTTAAACACCAACATGTACCTGGTATGTATAAAGTTTCACATATATCAATGGCATCCTTTGGTTCAACTTGTTATAGTGCTTGATAACACGATGAACAGTTTCAGGTACATACTCAAGTACCAAATTGAGATAAAGTTCATCCTTCTCTGTTGTAGAAAAAAAGCAATGTTTCAAAGCCACAACGTTTGGGTGGTCAAGAAGTCGCATTGTTTGCAGCTCACGGTTCTTGTACCTCTTATCTTGAAGAACCTTCTTTATAGCAACAGTTTCACCTGTCTCCAAGCACTTTGCCTTTAAAAAGAAAAAGAAAAAAGAAACAATGAACATCCATATAACCTAAAAATGATGATTAGCAAGTTATGCCACCTTTCGCGAAGCAAACAAGTGTTTCTTACCTGGAAGACAACTCCAAATGATCCATGTCCAACCACACGCTCAGCCATGTAACTTATAGTCTGGAATTTATAGTGTTATATTAGAAGATGTCATGTAATGAAAGAAAATGGGGAAGAAGGATAACTAATGTGTAACGTTTAATCACTGCAATTAAATCTCAAAGCAGAAGAAGTAATACCTGTTTCGGCTGACCATTTCTACCACCAATCGTTGTCACAATTATATGCCCTGTCTCTGTCCCATTACCATCCACAACTGTTGCTTCCATTTCCTAAAAATTAGAGATGATCCATGAGTCATAGAAGCATTTCGTTTTTCTTTTTGGTTTACTAATGAAAGCGAGTAGTACTCAGTAATTATTAAATTAAATGATTAGAAAATGCAAAGCAGGGAATCACAATGGTAAAAGGAACAAAAAGGAGCGTTCAAAAATGCATACTTTTTCATCTCTAATTTTCATGTCATTCATCTCCTCGGGTAACTTCTCGACACCAGCAGCACTAGATTCTGTTACACCAGAAGTAGGCACCGTGCCCCCGGAAGCCATCTTTAAGACAAAAGAGTGTCCTCCTAATTTTCCACCTCACAGCCAATCATTTATGTACATTGCAAAAAGACAAAAAAGATGTTACTAAAACTCAACTGAGATACAACAAATATGTTAAAAACAACCTCTAACATTAACTGCACCGTGAAGACTACAGTAGAACAAACTCACAAAGTACCCACAAAAAATCAAGTGCAATAAACCCCTTTTACCTATGTAGCAATCCAACCTTAACACACACTCACAAAACACTCATCCCCTTTTCAAAACCAGCAAGAATCTTAACAAATACCAATTATTTTAGCCAGAATATAAACTGCAACAGTTTTGAGCCCATCAAAGCAGAAATCTTTTAGCTTTTATCTTGCATATACATATACGTACACAATCATACTTACATACGTATATATTATACACAGGAAATCTCCACATCTAGCTTAAACAAAAGGATTTTAAGATATCATTCAGACAAAAAAGGAGCTAATGAGACTTCAAAAAATATAATAGCAAATAAAAAGAAGCATAAACTGAAATAATTTTAGAATTTATTATTACTATTATTATGAATTGGTTTGATTTCTTTTATTTATTTATCATTATTTATTGACTTGAAGAATAATTATTTAATATAACCTACGAGCAAGATTAAGAAATTATTACATATGACAATTATTATTTAAAAGGATAAATTACACAAATAATTCATCGACTATAAAATGCTACTTTGTTAAGTCTTCTGACTATTAAACGTTACGAAATATTTCTTTAACTAAATGACATTGTTCTATAACTTTTAAGAGTAGAAGAATTCAACAAAGCGACGCCCTATAATCGATGATTATTTTATAACTTTTAATAGTCGAAAGATTCATTATAACTTTTAATAGTTTAGAGATTCAACAAAACAACGCTCTATAGTAGAGGAATAACATTTATTCCTTTACCACATAGACCACTTGGTTCGTGCGACTACAAGCAAGGTTAAGAATCACATATGACAATTATTACTTGAAAGGCTTTTAGTTGAAGACGCATTGTCTTCCGGCGACTTTTCCGAAGACACACTGTGTTCTCGGCGACTTTCCAAAGACGCATTGTGTTCCCAACGACTTCCAACAGGTACTGTAGCATTCACACTAAACCAGAAAATAATTTTGATTAGACCTTATTTCAACGAATAATGTTTTAACAACCCTACAACAGAAAATCAACCCTTCATTGATACAGTTAGGTGGGAGAACTACTATACAAATCATTTTCTATTGGGTCCACCTTTTTCTTAAAAAAATTCAATTATATCACCCTCGTCCATACTTCATCATCTGCTCAAAGTTACAATATATTATTTACTAACCACATTAATTCACTAATAATATTAATTAAATTAAACTATGATCGATACAAGATTGTAAAATAAAGACATAATATTAAAAAAATTGTATTATTTGATGAAGTAGTTACTTTGGTATTTATATTTTAGAGTATTTTGGCATCTAATATTTTATTTTGAGATAAAAAGATCTCTCAATGAATGATAATCAAAGTCAACAAACAATTAATATTCCAAAATATGAATATTTTGTCTTAATTATTAAACATTAGTTGGTCAAAATGCTAAAAAAAGAATAAGGTCAAAGTGACTATTTAGTCAAACGTTAGAAGTTATCTTACCTAAAATGCTTAAAGAAAAAAAAGAAATTAAATGACTATTTAATCAAATATTAGGCGTATTTTTTAAAATTATGCCTAGGAATGGGCACAAGACTCAAACTTGATGGTCTTCGACGAGACCCAACCCTAGTGGCTTATGTTTTTTTTCTTTCAAAATTCAAGTTTGAGTTGGATCAGGTTTTTTAGAAGATAAGTTCGAGTTCAGATTTTGGAAGAAATATTCGACCGACCCAATCCAAAAAATAATGTAAGTATACATTATATATTTAGAGATAATTGCATTATTATTATTATTCTCTCTCTATATATATATATTCAATTAGATCCTTATTTTATCAAATAAAATTAAAAATATTATATATGTTTATATATTTGTGTTGGATAAAATACATGTTTTATTTTAAAAGACTGGTTGGGTTTTAGGTCGGGTGGAGTCACCATAAACTAGGGTTGAATCAAATTTTTGATGGGAAATGTATTTTTCTCGGGTTGATCGAAAACTCTATCCAACCCAACCTATGCACATTCTAATTATGCCTAAAAATAGAAATTAAAATTCTAAAAAATAAAACTTGGAGCATAAAACATAAATTATTATTTAATCACTATATTGTTAAATAATTATTATATAGTTAATAGAAATAATATTTAATTAAATTTAAAATCAATTATATATTTAGATCAATTATAAAAATGATGTTATTTTTTATTACTTTTAATCAATATTTTAAGAGATTCCAAACTCTACAAATGATTTTGGTTTAATAATAAAATCAATATTTTAGAAATTTTCTAATATTAAGTTGGAGTTTTATCTTATGCAAGTTTTGTATAAATTCTCCCAAAATTTCTGCAATTGTCTCTCTTCCGCCGCAAAGCTTCTTCCTTGTCTTTATTCTTAATTTATAGTTGTTTCGTGGGTAGGGCAATTTCAACCCAACAAATAAAGTTTGGTATTCTTTTGTTTTTTTTCATTTGAACCCTAATTGGTGCAGCCGTAAACCTTCATTTCTACTCCGCCGCAAAGCTAGACTTCCTTGTCTTTGTTCTTAATTTATAACTGTTGTCTGATAGCTCATCTTTGGAACTCCTTAAGCTTGATTTTGCAACGATGAATTGGGTTTATGAAAATGATTTGAATAACCGGGTGTTGTTTATCGGGTGCACTTCTTTCTCTGTTCCAGCAGTGGGGGAAGCAAATGTATTGGCAAATACCATATTCGCTTCTGGTACTTTGATGCACCCCAAAGTTAGATTTTATGGCAGCACATCTCCAAGGCAGTCGAGACTCTACCGTAAGTGTGTTGAGGCAGCAAAGTGCGACAGGATTTGGATTGATCTTCCGTTGGGTGGTATTTGGAGAGCCGATGATTTGATTCATGCTGTCTAGTTGAATGCTGCAACGCAAACCAACCATCAACAGCATTTTTTATTTATGTTTAGATCAATTAATTATTCCTGGAACATCATATGTTTTCATGAATGGAGTTTCAATTCCTGGTACTTCATCAGAAGATCTTTGACCTTAGTTATGGGGGTTTAGATCATGGAAAGAAGATTTAGCTAAGAATTGATAAAACCATAATAGATAAACTAAGTAATAAATACATTTAAAGAATTGAAAGTTGGTGAAAACAAACCTTAAAACAAAAGACTCCGATACACGCATATATATATATATATATATATATATATATATATAGAGAGAGAGAGAAAAGAGAGAGAGAAAAGTCTTAATACCAAATAAGTGTCCGGACTATATACTCTTTTTCCTGAGTAGGCGCCTATAATAATTTTTCGTATCATTTAGGTGATTAATGTTACAAACGTTATCACTTTAAGTGTCCGAATAGTCAACGACGTTAATTTTTAAAAATATATATAATTTTTTCTTATTTTATATAAAAAATTTAAAATTATCGAATTGTGACACGTGTCACTTAAAGGAGAAAACTAACAGTCTGTCATGGTTTGTCTCAGTTTGAGTGACAGAATGAAACGTTAGGCGCCAAACTAGAACGAAATAAACATTATACACTAAACTAAAAAAAGAGGAATGACACCTTTTGTATATTTAAACCTTTAGTAAAATAGGTTAATTTCTAGGCTTAATACTCAAATAAGTGCCCAAACTATACCTTTTTTCCCGAATAGGTGCCTACATTATTTTTTGACCATCCTGGTGTCTAACGTTACAAACGTTACCACTCTAGGTGTCCGAACTGTCAACGGAGTTAATTTCCACTATTAAGTGACACATGTCACAATATGATAATTTAATTTTTTTATATAAAATAAAAAAATATTTTTAAAAAGAAAACACATAAAATTTGAAATAACCCCAAAACATTGAAGACATAAATTTTGAAATAACCCTAAAACATTAAAGACATTCGTTTCAACCCTTAAACCTACACTGACCACTACCCTTTGTCATCGTCGAAACTCAACTCGACCTCACCTCCACCTCACCTCCCTCATAGACCAAAATCCCTATGAAATCATGACCTATCGTTGACCAATCGACGTTTTATATACCCCACAAACCCTATGATAAAAAATCGCAATCCCACGTGATTCCGACGCTAATCGACAACAACTATGGCGGCGTATAACTAGGATGACGCCAGAGACTGTCGACGACGATGATCGTGGTCAAAAAGGGCGGTGGCGGTGGTTTAGTGTTAGAATTTAGAGATTTAGGGATTTTGAGGCTTTTTGTGATTTAAAAGAAATTAGAGTTTTTGTTATAAATATGATAATATTTTTAATATTTTTTAAAATATAAATTAAAAAATTATCAGATTGTAACACATGTCACTTAATAGGAAAAACTAACGACTGTTACGTCTTGAACATTTAAAGTGGACGTGTTTGTAACGTTAGATACATAAATGGTCCAAAAAAAATGTTTTAGGCAATTATTTAGGAAAAAAAAGGTTAGTTTCATAACTTGCTTGGGGATTAAGCCAAAAACAAAAAAAGGATCGGTTATCAACGATAAATGAACAATAATCTGATTTGGTGTTTGAGTCAAATTTAGAAGTGTCAGCATAGAGAAAGACTTTAATTCTAACGGTAAACATAAATTCGAAATTTTATTTCAGTTTGTCCTTATTTTCGTTAACAAAAAGAATATTATCAATGATAATAATTACTTTAATAAAAATATTATTTTAATTTGTTTGATAATTATTTATTAGTTCTTATCATTTCAGATAAAACTATTTTGAGATAATGAATTCTACTATGACTAAGATAATTATTATTTGGGTGTATATTTATTATGTTTTTATTTCATGTTAATTTACTATTTAAAAATTATTAATTACTATTTAAAAATTATTACACATATTTAAATAATAATTTCATATTGAATATATTTTTATTAATATTATATTTATAATGTATTTAATATTATATTTTAAATATATTGTTTTAATGTCTAGCTCATTAAATAAATATTGATTAAAAATGTTCGATTAAGACAAGTTAAATTTGAACCTTGTTTCTTATACGAGAATTTAACTTGTAAGTTTATCATAATGAAATTATTATAAAATACTCGAATTTTGTTCGATAATTAATGTATTAAAACTTAAAGTTTTGATAGTACGTTACTTTTGATTCTACACTCATTAGAAAGCTTGATCATCATTTAAGGTGAGTTCCCAACTCTAAAATATATATTTTAGTATAACTTAAATAATTATTTTTAGTCCTTAAAATTTAACTTAAAGTCTTATCATATATGATGAAAAAAATAAATACAATCTGTGTAATCCTTTTAAATATTCTAGTTATATTTAATATGTCGAATGTAACTTTTTTATAAAATTTAGATAATATAATGAATTAGTTCTATGATTGTTAAGAAGAAAATATTTAACATGGATAATTTAATAAATAAATTAAAATCATCTTCTACATAATCTTGTATTCTTTTAATTAAATATGTATCTACATATTCTTATTTATATGTTAAATAACGTTACATTTTAAAAAACTTATTTTTAAATATAATGTTATATTTTGAAAACAAACACCAATTTACATTATAAATAAAGTTTAGGTACAATAATAAAATAAAGGTAGTAATTTAGGTGTTAAATATAGAATTTATCAAATTTATTAATATTTTATTGCGAGGGGCAGAGCCTAAGCTGTTCTTCCTGTGTTATATCGGGAAAATCACCAAAATATTCGACCGACCCAATCCAAAAAATAATGTAAGTATATATTATATATTTAGAGATAATTACAATATTATTATTCTCTCTCTATATATATTTTCAATTAGATCCTTATTTTATCAAATAAAATTAAAAATACTATATATGTTTATATATTTGTGTTGGATCAAATACATGTTTTATTTTAAAAGACTGGTCGAGTTTTAGGTCGGGTGGAGTCACCATAAACTAGAGTTGAATCGAATTTTTGATGGAAATGTATTTTTCTCGGGTTGATCGAAAACTCGATCTAACCCAACCTATACCCATTCTAATTATGCCTAAAAATAGAAATTAAAATTCTAAAAAATCAAACTTGGAACATAAAACATAAATTATTATTTAATCACTATATTGAGTTAAATAATTATTATATAGTTAATAGAAATCATATTTAATTAAATTTAAAATCAATTATATATTTAGATTAATTATAAAAAATTGATGTTAATTTTTATTACTTTTAATCAATATTTTAAGAGATTCCAAACTCTACAAATGATTTTGGTTTAATAATAAAATCAATATTTTAGAAATTTTCTAATATTAAGTTGGAGTTTTATCTTATGCAAGTTTTGTATAAATTCTCCCAAAATTTCTGCAATTGTCTCTCTTCCGCCGCAAAGCTTCTTCCTTGTCTTTATTCTTAATTTATAGTTGTTTCGTGGGTAGGGCAATTTCAACCCAACAAATAAAGTTTGGTATTCTTTTGTTTTTTTTTCATTTGAACCCTAATTGGTGCCACCGTAAACCTTCATTTCTACTCCGCCGCAAAGCTAGACTTCCTTGTCTTTGTTCTTAATTTATAGGTGTTTCATGGGTAGGGCGATTTCAATACTCAATGAGCCTTAATCGGCGGTTCGCTTCGGTGCCGGTCCACCATTCATACCTCTAATCCAAAGCTCCCAACACAAAGTGCGAGTTTTGTTCGAGTGATTGATTTAACTTCCCCAAATTTCCATTTTTTTTATTATTATTATTTCCGAAACTGCAGGTTTAGCTTTCCAGAAGCAGCCCCTTTTACAGCCATCTTGAAATTCAGAGTCCCTCCCCAAAATCATCAATGGTAAATCAATTCCTTCCATCTACTTTTGTTAAGTATTATTTTTGTATTTTTTGTTTTGTTTTGCATGTTTTAATTAGGATTTGGGATTGGGAGGTTTTAACTGGCTTAGATTAGCATTTTTGAAGGGAAAAATAAGAATTTTGAAAATATTGACGATTTAGACAGAATTCCCAGGAACCCTGTCATGCAAATCTCCCACCTTTCGTCCCTTGCCCGTCAACTACGAGTCACTTGATCACACTTTTGTTACGTGCACGAGTAATCCCTCACCTTCCTTACTCTGTCGAGTAATTTCAGTTCATAGCTGCACTATTGCCTGAGCATAGCTGTATTGTATGAGATTAGTTCTCCGTCTCCCCTGACCTCAGTCTGGTCTGTAACAACACAATCTGAAAGGAGAATGGTTGATTTTGATTTTTTTTAATTGCTAATATTGTACAAATGCTGTATATTTTGTCAAGTGAAATCTCTTTATATGTTTTCTATGAAGCTATTCCCCCTTAACTGCCTTGTACAAATTAGTTACTCCCTAATCTAGACGATCATATATTTAATTATGTTGCCTTTATGCCATAATATTTTCAGGACTAGCGGGGCTGCTCGGCTGCATTAAATTAGATTTTGGTGTCTGCAATCTCGGCGCCTCTTTGCTTTGTGCTATTTTCTCTCTTCAAAAAGAGAGGGGGAAAAACATTTTCAGTTGTATAAGTTTGGATGGGTGATGTCTGCACAAGTCATCCAACACGTTTGAAACTGTATCTCAAGTCTGGTTTGATTGTCTAGTTAAAGTCAACCGCATAAAAAAACATAGCTCATTGAAACCCAAAGAATCATCCAACAAATTAGGACAGTTGTCAAGAGAAGAACCCCTTGTAACCAGTCCGGCTCCAGCCGCCGTTCCTGTCTTTCATTGATTAGCCTCATCTTCCTAATAGTCTTGCTCATTTCCTTGAAAATCCTCAGAAATTATCTCAATAGGAGAGATGACTACGACTGGTACGAGAAATTTTAAGGAAAAACGGATTTCAAAGAGGCTGCGACTGAGTAGACATGGGCCCAATTGGTCGGATCTCCCCCTCGACATCCTTGAACGTATAATTGGATTTTTGCGTTGGATAGATCGAAGCCGGATACGAGCAGTTTGCAAGGCTTGGTCAGTCCCAAACACTTGTATTCCTGCTATTGTTGAACTCCCCTGGGCAATGAAATTTTGTTGGCGTTATGCCTCTTTGTATCTAATACAAGGTGAGTGCCGGCTGCTGGACCCTCTTTCCAGAGAGTACCTTGTCGAAGAAAGGAGCAGAGGACTAGAGTATCTACTTTTCCTTGATGCACGACCTTGTGCTTCTTTATATGGGTGGGTTCTTTTCAAAGTGTACGGCTTTATTGAAGAAAAAAAAGAGTCCCTCTTTTTGTACTCTCCGTTAACAACTGAGGTAATTAGGCTTCCGTATTTAGGGGGACCTCCCACATTTCAGGTGGCGACGTTTGCCTTGAATGCAACATCCCCAAAATGTACCATCTTTCTTTTGTGGAGTGAAAATGGAAAAATTGTATTAAGTTATGTTCTGCCGGTGATTGTTCATGGAAGACTTTGAGTTTGATGGTTTTGATCGGTTTAATCGTGCTAATGATGCTGCCTACACCAACGGAGTTTTCTATTGTGTTTTTAGAGAAGGTCAATTGGGTGCCTTCAATGTTGAACTTAAAGGGTGGACTATTCTGGTTGATCATTGTCCACTCGTTGATCATTGTCCACTCTCACGAAGTAGTGTGCATTATGCTAAACTCATTGTCTGGTGCAGATCTGCAACTGTTGTCTGATAGCTCATCTTTGGAACTCCTTAAGCTTGATTTTGCAAAGATGGATTGGGTTTATGAAAATGATTTGAATAACCGGGTGTTGTTTATCGGGTGCACTTCTTTCTCTGTTCCAGCAGTGGGGGAAGCAAATGTATTAGCGAATACCATATTCGCTTCTGGTACTTTGATGCACCCCAAAGTTAGATTTTATGGCAGCACATCTCCAAGGCAGTCGAGACTCTACCGTGAGTGTGTTGAGGCAGCAAAGTGCGACAGGATTTGGATTGAACTTCCGTTGGGTGGTATTTGGAGAGCCGATGATTTGATTCATGCTGTCTAGTTGAATGCTGCAATGCAAACCAACCATCAACAGCATTTTTTATTTATGTTTAGATCAATTAATTATTCCTGGAACATCATATGTTTTCATGAATGGAGTTTCAATTTTAGTAAGTATTCCTGGTGCTTCATCATAAGATCTTTGACCTTAGTTATGGGGTTTAGATCATGGAAAGAAGATTTAGCTAAGAATTGATAAAACCATAATAGATAAACTAAGTAATAAATAAATTTAAAGAATTGAAAGTTGGTGAAAACAAACCTTAAAACACAAGACTCCGATACGTACACACACACACACACACACATATATATATATATATATATATATATATATATATATATATATATATATATATATATAGAGAGAGAGAGAGAGAGAGAAGGCTTAATACCCAAATAAGTGTTCGAATTATACTCTTTTTCTTTAATAGGCGCCTATAGTAATTTTTCGGACCATTTAGGTGATTAGTGTTACAAAAGTTATCACTTTAAGTATCCGAATCGTCAACGACGTTAATTTTAAAAAAAATACATAATCTTTTTTATTTTATATAAATTTTTTAAAATTATTGAATTGTGACACGTGTCACTTAACGTAGAAAACTAACAGTCTGTCACGGCTTGCCTCAGTTTGAGTGACAGAATGAAACGTTAGGCGCCAAACTGAAACGAAATAAACGTTATACACTAAACTGAAAAAAGGGGAATAGGTTGGGCACCTTTTGTATAATTAAACCTTTAGTAAAATGAGTTAATTTTTAGGCTTAATACCCAAATAAGTGCCCAAACTATACATTTTTCCCCGAATAGGTGCCTACAATATTTTTTGACCATCCAGGTGCCTAACGTTACAAACGTTACCACTCTAGGTGCCCGAGCTGTCAACGGAGTTAATTTCCACTGTTAAGTGTCACGTGTCACAATATGATAATTTGAATATTTTTATATAAAATAAAAAATAATATATATATATATATATATATATATTTAAAAAGAAAACATATAAAAATTGAAATAGCCCCAAAACATTGAAGACATTCGTTTACACCCTTAAACCTACGCTGACCACTACCCTTTGTCATCGTCGAAGCTCCACTCGACCTCACCTCCCTCATAGACCAAAATCCCTATGAAATCATGACCTATCGTCGACCAATCGACGTTTTATATACCCCACAAACCCTATGATAAAAATCACAATCCCACGCGATTCCGACGCTAATCGACAACAACTATGGCGGCGTATAACTAGGATGACGCCAGAGACTGTCGACGACGACGATCGTGGTCAAAAAGGGCGGTGGCGGTGGTTTAGTGTTAGAATTTAGAGATTTAGGGATTTTGAGGCTTTTTGTGATTTAAAAGAAATTAGAGTTTTTGTTATAAATATGATAATATTTTTAATATTTTTTAAAATATAAATTAAAAAATTATCAGATTGTAACACATGTCACTTAATAAGAAAAACTAACGACTGTTACGTCTTGAACATTTAAAGTGGACGTGTTTGTAACGTTAGATACATAAATGGTCCAAAAAAATGTTTTAGGCACTTATTTAGGGAAAAAAAAGGTTAGTTTCAGAACTTGCTTGGGGATTAAGCCAAAAACAAAAAAAGGATCGGTTATCAACGATAAATGAACAATAATCTGATTTGGTGTTTGAGTCAAATTTAGAAGTGTCAGCATAGAGAAAGACTTTAATTCTAACGGTAAACATAAATTCGAAATTTTATTTCAGTTTGTCCTTATTTTCGTTAAAAAAAAGAATATTATCAATGATAATAATTACTTTAATAAAAATATTATTTTCATTTGTTTGATAATTATTTATTAGTTATTATCATTTCAGATAAAACTATTTTGAGATAATGAATTCTACTATGACTAAGATAATTATTATTTGGGTGTATATTTATTATGTTTTTATTTCATGTTAATTTACTATTTAAAAATTATTAATTACTATTTAAAAATTATTACACATATTTAAATAATAATTTCATATTGAATATATTTTTATTAATATTATATTTATAATGTATATAATATTATATTTTAAATATATTGTTTTAATGTCTAGCTCATTAAATAAATATTGATTAAAAATGTTCGATTAAGACAAGTTAAATTTGAACCTTGTTTCTTATACGAGAATTTAACTTGTAAGTTTATCATAATGAAGTTATTATAAAATACTCGAATTTTGTTCGATAATTAATGTATTAAAACTTAAAGTTTTGATAGTACGTTACTTTTGATTCTACACTCATTAGAAAGCTTGATCATCATTTAAGGTGAGTTCCCAACTCTAAAATATATATTTTAGTATAACTTAAATAATTATTTTTAGTCCTTAAAATTTAACTTAAAGTCTTATCATATATGATGAAAAAAATAAATACAATCTGTGTAATCCTTTTAAATATTCTAGTTATATTTAATATGTCGAACGTAACTTTTTTATAAAATTTAGATAATATAATGAATTAGTTCTATGATTGTTAAGAAGAAAATATTTAACAGGGATAATTTAATAAATAAATTAAAATCATCTTCTACATAATCTTGTATTCTTTTAATTAAATATGTATCTACATATTCTTATTTATATGTTAAATAACGTTACATTTTAAAAAACTTATTTTTAAATATAATGTTATATTTTGAAAACAAACACCAATTTACATTATAAATAAAGTTTAGGTACAATAATAAAATAAAGGTAGTAATTTAGGTGTTAAATATAGAATTTATCAAATTTATTAATATTTTATTGCGAGGGGCGGAGCCTAAGCTGTTCTTCCTGTGCTGCATTTAACAGAAAATTAACTACCAGACTCATTTCGATCTTCATCACCGTCTCCCCCTGCCATTTTATTTTAAACGAACTTCTTCACCGAGATATTGAAGGTCCTTAAAGAGTGGTGGGTCAAGGATGTTAAAAGGCTAGAGTAAGCAAGGTTCTTTCTCCCACGGGGAAGGTGCGATCGCTCAGATTCCTTAGTGGTTAGTCAGATTCAGCTCGTGTTCTGTCCAAGTAAAGCAAAGATTCCGTTCGTGGTGGCAGAATTGGAGGAAAGCAAAGCATGTATGCTTTCTTGTTCTCAGATGCTACATAACGGCCGGCTTTTCACTCTGTCTCCTCTTTGAACGATTTTGTGTTCTGTCTGAGTAAAGCAAAGATTCCTTTCGTGGTGGCAGAATTGGAGGGAAAGCAAAGCATGTCTGCTTTCTTGTTCTCAGATGCTACATAACGGCCGGGTTTTCACTCTGTCTCCTCTTTGAACGATTTATTTGGCTTGGCCACCGCCACTAAAGACAGTTTTTGTTTGTCTCTATTAGTAAAACTTTAAAAATATGTTTTCCATAAAAAGTCTCGATCAATTTATCTTGCAGCGGTCAGAAGTGTTTATCAGCTCAATCCATCGTACTACTGAATTTCTTTGGGTTTTTGAGGATGAGAAGATGGTATACCGGGAAGTTAGCTTTGTCCCTGATCTGTTGTAGATTTTTGACGAAATTTTAGTTAATGCTGCGGATATTAGATGGCGTTGTCCATCTATTGATTCTATTATGGTAAGCATTGATGTGCCGCTCAATTTGGTATCTGTTTATAATAATGGTGAGGGTATTCCGGTTGAGGAGGAAGGAGGAGTTTTCGTGCCGGAAATATATTTTGGTCAGCTTTTGACGGGAAGTAATTTCGACGACGATGTCAAAAGGATCCGAGGTGGTCGCTATGGTTTTGGAGCGAAGATTACAAATATATTTTCGACTGAGTTTGTCGTGGAGATCGCCGATGGAAAACGAAGGAAGCATTATAAACAGGTAATTTTATTTTAATTGTTAAAGTTAATTTTATATTAATAATTTATTTAGTAATAGAACATTAAATTATTATACTAGTAATAATTTTGTTTTCATCTCTTATTTTGATTGTGAATGTGATTTATGTTTTAGTTAACAATCTTTATGTAGGCAATTTGGACTTATGGTTGGTAGTCCTAAAACTGTGGTTCTGTAGAAGCTTTTGTCGTTAGTTATGCGTTGACGTTAGTTAGAGTATTGTTGGGGTTGTTTAGGTGATTGCTTTCGGTGTTTGAGAACATCTTAGTTTGTGTTTTTTATTCGATTTGCAGCGGGGGTCTTAATCGATTTCTTAAGTGTGTAATTTGTTCAGATTATTGTCTGTGATGGAGTGAGTCTAGGACTATATAGGTTTCTTTTGATGAGAGGGTGAAGGGAGTGTTTTTTGGATGTTCCATGGTGTTGTAATCTTGGTTTCCGAGGTGTTATGGTGGATTTATCATTCAGAAGGTTAGGATGTTGTTCTTGAGGATTTTTGTGCTTGATGTTTTGGAGTCAGGCAGTCCTTGTTTTGCTCATTTCTGTGGAGGCTT